TAATTTTCGTAAGTGCAGGGGATGAGTTTTGTTTTTGTTTTTGTTCTTCAGTTGAGCCCATCATATAATAACTTTCTTGTGGTTATTCCATAAAAATGTGTTGTTTTAGACAATCCATTCTATTATGTATAGTAGATCTATCGTGGCAGAAGGCTGCACTAATTGAAAATCCTTGATTCCATTCAAAGACTTGTAAGGTGATTTGATGGTATTCAAAAGTCAAATACCAGTATGCAAAGATTGCCATATGTTTGTGGTATTTTCTATTAAAACCATAAATGGATGAATCGAATGCAGTGTTTTCTCTAACTACGTAAATGGCTTTCACGAAAGGTGTACCGTTGCTATGTGTGTGAAAACATGATGGAATTTCGGCTTTCTGTACTCCACAAATCTCCTGAGGCCTTGTGTCTGAAATACAATATTCACAGAGAGTTGTACATTGTGTTCATTGGTGATTGATAGCTCTCTTTATATTTCAATATTACCCCTTGGGAAAAGAGCAGAAATGAAATACTTCATGTACAATGTCAAGGAGCTCTTGAAATGTTCAGATTGTGTGTGGATAAATATGAGAATGGTTGTATTTGTACTTTCATCATGCTTAACATTCTAGATATACGTATCTGTTGTTGGCGTAGATGGAATGTTGATATTGGTAACTAACATCATTCAACATAAAGGTGTTGTCTCGGTATTGCTGTATGGTTAAAGATAAGACAGTGTATCTGTACTTTCGTCATGCTTAACATTCTAGATACACGTACCTGGTGTTGGCGTAGATGGAATGTAGATATTGATAATGCACATCATTCAACATAAAGTTGCTGTTTCGGTATTCGATATATGAAGTGGATACATGTGCAACATTTGAAACAGAATCGTGAGCAGACTGAAGACAGAATAAAAAGGAAAAGAAAGAAAGAAGACAAAATAGAGAAGGCTTGTAGGATACAATAATACTAGGAGGATTAAAGGAGTCCAATAAATTGTATGGCAATCATATCAGAATTGATGGAAAATTAAACATCTTAATTTGACTCAAAGTCTGGGCATTATCAGGATAGGATTAAAGAATTAAGACAAGCGAAACGGGATTTAATTTAGTTTATCTTATTAAGGAGTAAGGATGTACACAGACATAGATACCAATAATCAGTTTAAAGGGATGGAGTGTACATGTATGTTTGAATAAGAAAAACATTGTTCCAAGAAATACCAGAAAGAAAGGAAGAGGTGAATTAAGAAATATCTTAGGAAGTGGAAATGGTCTTGACTAATCTTCCCCCGTATGTTTTCTGCACCCGACATACTTCCTTTCCGCCCTTATTTCAAGGCTCATGAAATGTCAGTTCCAGGTATTAGCAGCATTAATGATTAATGACACATAGATGTGATTAACCTTTTATGAAGTACACACCCAGCACAAACGATTTCTCCCATGCTTTGCCTGTTTTTCATTTTTCAGTATAGCCTTAGTAACCTCCCTTTCAAATGTGGGTTAATCTAGGCCTATGATATTCATGATGAAAGCTTAATTTGTAAATAATCAATTGTTTCTGTTGTGAATGTAATGTAGTTAAAACAAAATAATTGTAGGCCTGTAGCAAAATATAGATTTAGCTCTGTTTCTGTTTTGAACTCAGTAGATAATGGATGTCAACTCCCCTTGTGTCTTTTTTAATAAACATTGCATAATATGAGCGCCATGTACAGATCTATACATTTCTCAGTCAACACCCTCCAGTGTGAATGCCCCTTTCACTTCACAGTCCTACATGCATGTATTTCTTCATACAAATTTCCTCTTGTGTGAAAGCACAAACAACTTCAGTTGTAAATGTTAGCCAGCAATTATAAGTCCATAAGCCTTCATGACATTGATCCATTGTCAGATAGATAGATCTTTAACCTATTGTTAGTCCATAACATGTTTGTTTTTCTTCTTCAAAGTTTGATTTATAATGATGTAATAGTTTAGGCTCCAATCAATAGTGCAATGACCCCATCCATGGATGGCTGCACATGTCTGATCAAGGATACTCCTTGGTCTTATGATCTAGAAATACTAGAAATCAGGCCATATGGCTTGGATCCAGTTTTTTAGGGCAAAAAAAGATGTCCATTTAGTATCTATTAATCAAGCACTTCTTTTATTTTCTGTAGTTAATTTGAAAGAAGAACAATTACATTGTATTAACTGCGAAATGTGCCAAAAAGAGAAGAAATATGAAAAGAAAAAAGAATTTACTTGACGGATGGCACAAGTAAGTCCTTTTTAAAATTGCAACAGTTAAATTACATACATTAATAATAATAATATTCCGCTTATATATAGCGCTTAGTACGATGATACAATGATACAAGTGATTGTCATGGTTGTCAGACAATGAAACATGACCCAAACTGTTCAATTTTGAAATGTTATGCAAGTCTATTTTCAGATTTAATAGAGGCACATTTTATCTGTGGTTGAGCTCTGTTGCCAATTTCATGTCCCTATCTAAATGCTGGGTGATTCATCACTAAACCAAGAGATTAAAAGCTGACATTTAAACCATGCAGGGTCCAAGTTTAAACCTACCAAGATCCTTCTTGTTTCTTCCAGACAGCTTGTTCCAGGGACTGTTCCCTCTGGCAATGAAGTTGCTTTTCCATTGGCCTGAGATAAGCTCAAGCTTTTGATAGTACAGAGATCATCTGCTTCTTGAGAAAATTGTATGAGGCTGAATTCCCTATTCTATTAAAAAATGCTGCGAATGATAGCTCAAGATTATAGTTGCAACAGTGAAATACAGTGTAGCTAACTAATTGCATCTTTACTGTGAATTAATTAGCTGGAAGTAGTTGTGAAGGGGCTAATTTTCCTAAATCATATTACAATTTTAGCTGGCTATTTCAAAGGCTGTGGCCAGTGAAAATAGCCCTGTTTTGCGAATGAGTCGCAATAGTTGTGAGAAGGGCAATTTTGTTTGATCAGAGCCAGAAAGGCAATAGCTCAAAAAGTATGTGAGCACCCTTCTCGCTCTAAACAGACAAATGTCAGAATTACATGTGGCAAGATATTTAAAAAACTCTGGCTATTTTTGGCTAATCTGGACGGATTTTATCATGATAATGATATTAGGAATGTATACTGGAGTAGATCAGAGGGGTAAAATAGAACTCTTGTATGTCAAGGCCAGATCATTCATAGCTCCATCCCACATTCATGTAGGTGTATGGTAAGCCAATAAGCCCTCATGCTCCACCCATGTATCTAGTGCAGCTGTCTTGAAGACAGAAAAAAGAACACCTGCCACATATGCATCAAAATCCCACATGTGTGCATCTTGTAGCACCTCATAATTCAGATGGGTGTGGTGAATAGAGGCTAAAAATACCATTTAATGAGTTAAACGTTCTGAAAATGAAGTCTAGCTGTATGTTCTATGTCACATCAATGCAGCTCATTATATTGGGATATTTCCTTGATGCCAATGGATTAGCCTTTCATCTTTGGGATTTAGCACATAAGATTTCAGTATGATGGGAAAATTGAATGCATGTTCTGTTTAATATGAGGAGAGCATATTACTATTGTACATTCCAGTTAAAATTTTAGAACACTTTTGTTACCCATATAGTCAAGAATTTTTGATGACTTTGTCACATTGTCACTGTTTTTCTGAAGTTATTACAGATACAAACAGATTTTAATATTGCTCCTGACTTGTTGGAAATGGGAAAAGTTATAGGATAAAAGGTTTTGAGAGTATGATTGAAAGAAAATTATTTCCGAGTTAACACCAGGTCATTTGTTATAGTGCAATGTTCTGCATGATAGGTGCCTGTGATGGTAGAAGTGATGCCTGATTGGCATACATCAAGTAGGGTCTGCATATTTCAAGACTAAAAGTAGACCGTAAATTTTTCATTTTTGCCCAGCTGGATAGTGGTGTGGATGACTTGTCAGACACACCACACAAAAGGCCCAGGGGTCATGTCAGGTCATGCGATAGGGGGGTTAATTGAGGTGATAATTACTGGTCAGAGGTGAGGGATCTTTTCCCCTTTTTTATTGTCTAGCTGTGCTGGTGGCCAAACATGTATGTAGAAGAAGCTATAGGCCTGTATGATAAATATGGAAGATTATTCATTTAATATTGTCGAAATGTATTGCGAAGTCAGGTTAATTCTCAGTAAAGGGCAATACTTAGTCCTGGCACTAGTGTAAATTTGAGTCGTAACTCATGATTTTGATATTACAAATGTGAGAATTACTTTGGATAACTTATACAGGAAATTGAAGAAAAAAAATGATCTCGATTTGTGATGAGCTCCAAATAAATAACTTAAAGCCAAATGTAATGACAAATTGACATAGCTATTTAAAAAAATAAAAATAAATTTGAGGTACAATTCTTTTTTCTAACATTTTCTTAGCTGTCAAAGTGTCAAAAACCTAAGAAGGTCAGGACGAGTCTACTCCAGCTAGGGACTTATGCAGTGTGCTTTGATACTGGTAGTGAAGAGTGCATTAAACAAGTACAAGGTGTATGAAGGCCTACACATAAAATGTAGGCCTAGTGCTAATGTTTGTTCTTCCTATCTGAGCTATCATTTAATCATTAAGTACCAATGCACACATTCATGTTGATGAAGCTTATTTCCACTAAATTCCTAATTGTATCTGACTGGATAGATAAATGTACACAGATAAAAGGGGTCATTCTTAGTTTGGAACTATCATAAGAAATGTATATTTGGATATTTGGACAAGGATTGAAGCCTTATGACTACTTGCTAGTTATGAAGAAGGTCAGAATAGCGACATTGACCTCCTGTCCAATCAAAATGCAAACAAAATATACAGAAATGGATAATGTTATTATGATAACCATTGAGTGACAAGTTGACATTCATTGCATACTTGACCCCATCTGTTTATAATGATTTTTCTTCATATGTCATATTATTTTCTGTTTATTTTCTTCTCTGAATCATCATGTCTAAATGTCATTTTCCACTATTTTCTCCTTTTTGTGCAGGTGATTTAATATCCAGTGAGACTCATCACAGTCAGTGTCGCCTTGGAAGTATTGAAGAAGGGTCCTTTCAGCTGAGAGGAGGTAGGTTGAGATATAATTTTTAAGGGGATAAACTTTGGATTTCTGTATTTTTATGCAATATATCCAGCTCTGCCACTTTTGACACTTTATTAATAAACTGAATTCTCTATTCACCTTTATGCAAATAAGCTATCCTACAAAGTGAGTAAGAGAGCAGGATAGAGTTGAGATAATGGTGCTCAACATGATTGCATCACCTCCAGTAGCTCTTCAAGTTCAAGTAACCCAAGTTTTTCTTCTTTCGGGAAAGTAGTGTTCTTCTTTAGGACAACTTTATTTTTCTTAGTTAAAATCCTTGAAGGAATAGAATGAGGATGTGTGTGAAAGAGAGATGGAGACAGAGAGAGAGAGAGAGAGAGAGAGAGAGAGAGAGAGAGAGAGAGAGAAATACAAAAACAAAGACAAAGAAATATAGGAGGGCTGCTAAGATTGGGGGGGGGGGCAGGGAGGCAGAAAACGTGCTGAATAACCAAGAGAATGGATGGTGATTGACAACTGAATAAGAACATCAGATAAAAAGACACCAGACAGAGGGGTTTGTCGATCACTTCCTTCAAGACAAAGTATTGGCAGCTTTGAAGATGACAACATCAATGATTCCTTGTCTACTAAACAGGTGCTCTTCAGGGACCTCATATTAGTCTAGACAGCCACCTCTCTCCCATATGTTGAGCCCCTGTCATAAATACAAACATTTAAAGAACAATGATAGAAATAAATAAATCTTTAAAGGGCATGTCTGGAATTGAGAATCCCTGCAAAACAAATTTTCTGAAACAGTATGTCATAGAAATACAACTCTAGTGAATTAGCATTTATGAAGGGCTCCATTCTTACTTTTTTTCACACAAGGTCCAAACTGGTATTTTATGATCTGTATGCATGGGTCCCCTGTTTCAACTTAAAACATTTTGGTGTCCGGAGTTCAAATTATCAGGCCCATGACTCCCAGCCTCCTGTTAGTTCCGAGTCCAGCTGAAATGATAAAACAAATAAAACATTTTCAAGGAATCATTGATTGTCCCCATTTTTAAATATTTTACATCAGCTGTAACGGTTACAGATGTTATACAATTACCTTAAATGAAGCCTCCACCCCAACATTTAAAGTGACTTTTTTAAGGATGTTGTAAGAAAGGGGTCCTGCTGGAGTTCTATTTTTGGCCTTATTTGCATGGGTTGGGAGGAGAAAGATGTATTCCATCATGCCCTAGGGAGAGTGATGATGTATCGCCATGGGGACAGACTTGCCTTGCCCTCCATGTTCAGGTTCAATGTTCGAGAGGTCAAAGGTCTTAGCCCATAATAGAAGTAGTGCTCAGCACTAATGTGGGCCCCAAAGTTGAACTCTGTACCCACAAAATTTTGAAGTAACATGGCCCATGCAAACGAACCCCCAAAAGATCAACCCAGACCTTCTGTCGTAAAAAGTTAGGTTGGAGTCCTGTTCAGAGCATGAGGTCTTTCTGAATGTTCTAGGGTCCTTTTCCCCTGTGTAACCTGTTATTGTTTAGCCCTTTATTTAGTATTACCTACTTTATTTGTTCTGATGGAAGGAACTTGAAATATCAAACTAGAGATCAGCACGTCAGGGATCCTGATTTCTCTGCTGATGTCTAGTGTCAGTTTTTATTTTGGCTTAAATACTAAAAAGCTGTTTGTATTGTCTCTGGATTTTGCTTGTTTTCCTCTCATTCGTTTGTTTGTCCACCCTCAGTCTGGCGCTAAAGGTTGATTTGCGTAAATTTGAAAGACGTCTTGGCACAGTTATGTTAAGGAAGATCATGTCAAACATGCAAACATTATTTATCAAAGTAGAAAAGAAGGATGGCACACACCCACTGAGAAATAGTGAGGGATAGAAAGGATGTTGTGAAATCATTTTTGGATGAAATTCTAAAGACCTGTTGTCACAAACAGTTTCTGGTAGGATGACTGCCCCACACCCACTTAACCTGTCAGTTATGTTTGATTTTGGTATTGCACACCTATTCCCCTAGCCTCCAGTGCCAGTTCTCTCAAGCTTTGAATTCAACTGGTTTAATGTGCTTCCAGTATCTGATTTCATATATATGTATAAAGTTATATACACTTAAAATATTGTATCAAACCATATTATATTCATGAAAATGTATGACGAAAGAAAGAAAAAAGATGCAGAAACCAATAAATCGAATCAAATCAAATCAAATCTAATAAGAAACTGTAGGGCAAAGCTTTGATTGAATGATGGGTGTAACTCAAAATGCAACCAAGCTACATGTATAGGGCTAAAAAATGTTGTAGGAGGGAGAAAGAGAGTTCATTATTAGGTAAGATTTTAATGAAATGTTTTCAGAATGATCAGGGATATGAGTGAGAGTCTTACTGCATGCTTACTGGTCAGACCAACCTGGAGATTGATGAGGAAAGGGAGAATCCGAGAAAGGGATAAGAGAGCATTCATTTAGAAGAGGAAGATGCAGAATAAGGATAGCCAATGAAAAATACCAAGAACCAGTAGTGGTCCAAGAAAATGCACAACACGATAGAGGCTTTGCAAATAATAACTTTTCAAATGATTGGAACTCACAGCAGCACATTCTTTTGCCCAAATGAAATCAAATTGATATTCAACCCCAAACAGATCGACAACATAGAATAACTCTTGAGAAAACAACATGAGCTCACAAGTCTATTAGCCCTGGGAATCATAAGTTTATCCAGTGAAATTCAATCAAGAAGCAATTCTGGAAAACATGTTGAGGAGTGGTTGTCAATGTTATGTTTGATCAAATATGCAGCCCCATAGGGCTATCAAAACCGATAAGGAATAAGGAGCTTGAAATTGAATTGTCAGACAAAGTGTGGGAGGACAAATCAAATTTGGCAGAGACGGTCCCCCGATGTTCTACTTTTGTCTCATTCTGTCTGCCAAGGAGCCGCATCTAACCCCCTCTACCCTGTCGTTTGGTATCCCACATACAATGGGCATGGAAATGTATACTTATGGGAGGCCTGGGGTTAATTTAGACTTCACCATATGTGAAAGTCCCTCACATGCTGAAAGGGTTTGCCATTTCTTTCTTCGTCAAAAGCTTTCAATCTTTTGAGAAGCAGTGAGTTAATATGTAACCTTGCACTGTCATGTGTGTGAAAGCCATGTGAAGGTCAGTGAAATTAGTGATGTTTCCAAGCATATTTACATTGTCGCTTCCATTACTCAGGTGTTTTTTGTTTGCCATTTTTGTTTAGGTTTCAGACGCGATGATAGTGGATGGGATAGGACAGCTCCCTTTAAGTTTAAGTTTAAGTTGCAAACTTTTTACGACCAGGATTTAATACATATTTGCATGACAGTTATGAACTTAACTTATAGCTTACATGTACTTTATATTTGCTGAATCCAAAGAGAAAAATTCTCCTCTGAAATTGACTGAAAGGTACAGACCCCAACAATATTCCCATTTTTGTGCAATCCTTCTTTGAACTCGCTCACCCTTTCAAGAAGAGGACAATGGCTGATATTTAATCTGATAAATTTGTTGATATATTTCCAGTGCCATTGTGTAACAAAAAAATAAAATGAATACATTTCTATATTATGTTTTATATTGCCTGCTTTTTGTCCTCGAGATTGGATAATGCCTGAAACATTAGTTACTCCATCTGTAAACATTTTCTTTTCTTTCTTTTAATCAATTGGCTGGGATCCATGAAGCCAGAAAGTGAGATGTGTATTGTTGAATTGTATTGTCATGTATAAAGTGAGCCGAAAGAGAGAACCCCAATGTATTGAGCTGGTCATATCTTGTTAGTCTATACATTGTCAACATTTCCTCCCCTGTGAAGTCTAATGGTAATGACTCTGGGCTGATTTATCCTTTCTCATTGAACTTGTGATAGAGGGGTCAATTGGAGGGGTAAAGAGACAGAGGGGGTCAATTTGAGGAGTCACATGATTGTATTCAAGTTAGCAACAAAACTGTTACTAGTAATCAATAATGAACAGGTTTTGTTCTTTATTGCTAGCAGAAAGGAATGTGAATAAGCCATTCCACGAGGGAAAACATTACCAGACAAAAAAGAAAGAAAGAAAGAAAGGGAGAAAGAGCAAGAAATGGATAGGGCTTTTATGCTGTTAATCCTTTTTAAAGGAATTTGATTGTTGGTAATAAAAGTTCTTTTTAAAAGATTTTTACAGCTCATAACAATGGCCTTTCTAAGTGAACTAATGTGATTGAAAATAGATTGAAAGAATTAATCTAAAATTCATATAAACCTGTAATGTAGTTGCAAAATAAATGGAAAAGGCATCTCATGAGGAGAGAGAGAGAAAGAGAGAGAGAGAGTGTGTGTGAGAGAAAGGGGGAATGAAAATGGAAAAAGGATGTATGCATGGGAGAGAATTAGATCTTTTAGATGGCGATGGAAAGAGAAGAGAAGGGGATAGAATAGAAGAGGGAAGACAAGAAAAAAAAAAAGAGAAGAGAAGAGAGAAAGAGAGAGAGAGAGAGAGAGAGAGAGAGAGAGAGCGTGCGAATATTCTGGTAAATTTGACCATGAAATCATTCAGCATTTTCAATTTACCACCCAATGAAATGAGATTTTAATGAATTCCTGCTAAAAGAGTGGATCAGTTTTTAGACAGGTTTGGATAAAGCCAATTGAGCCACTGCAAACTACATGTATAGGTCATTGATCTACCAAAGACCTTGTATCTTCTTGAAAATAAGTTATCAGAAGAAATATGTCATTTTTATACAAAAATAGTCACACACATTGAATAGCAATTGTGAATATGTCAATATGATTTGAATAGCTTCAGAAAATAGTTTTTACATGCACTGAGAGTTTAATGATAGACATGTTTCTTACTTTTCAGATACTGATATCCTTCTCAGATTTACTGATTTTAATACCATGAATTGTCCATTCAAACACTTCTTCCCTAAAAATAGCAATACCTATTATAGGACTGTCTTGATTTACGTGTGGTTACTGTATGGTAGAATCATTTG